AGTGGGATCATCATTTGCAAAGATACAGAGTTTAGGACTTGTTATCCATACTTTTTAAATTATTTTTAAGATAATATGGTTAGATTATTATAGAAACTCATTCACATTTCCCAAATGAGTAAATATCTTCTGGACCAATCCTGATGTTTCTTTGTAAGATGAAACAGTCTACATGGCCACCCTTTAAAATAAAAATAAAACTCTTTTGTAGTGGGCTATTACTGAAGAAGCTATTTAACTTTGTATCCAATGCCATGAGAAGTGTCTTGTAAGGGAACGAACTGGATTTATTTGTTGCCTTTACCCGATAGGGTCATTGGCAATCATCCTTTCAGATAATATTTTATACTTGGTTGTAAAATCTCATTTTCAAGAAACTGTAGGATTTCCACATCTCTCTCTGTATCCTGCAACATTTCTTGGATAGTTAGGTTTTTTTCCCCTCATCCTCCAGCGATTTTAGTGGACTAATAAATATTTGGACGGTTTCGTGCACATTGCTGTTCTTCCTTATGACCGCATAATGTAAACAGTCTACGAATATGTGGTTCACTGTTCTAGGAGTACTACTTTTGAGAGAAGTAAGTGGTTCTCGACAGTGGAGTAAGTAGCCGAGCGAAAATTCGCAGTGACCCATTCTGAGGCGGCACAGAATTATTTCTTATTTTTTTGATTTTCTATTACTCACGAACCATTTACCAATGTTTTGTTTTAATTAAAATATTTTGAAGGGGTTTCTTCTTCAGGACTCATTCCAGAGAGCTAATATCTGGAATCCCAAAACAAAACTCCAAAAATCTGGTGCGCGCAACACACAACCTCTCTACCTCTACCTCTCTACCTCTCTACCTCTCTACTTTGAATACAAATTATTTTCTGCCAATGTTGAGCAATTATAAAATTTTTCAAGTGCACTTTTAGGAACCATGGCTTAAAGCAAACAGCTAACAAATCATTAAGACCACTAAAATAACAAAAACCCTTCTAACTAAGACAATAAAAACCTCGACTCTATCTGTTTTTGTAAACCACATAACTCCGGTCTTATATATATATATATATATATATATATATATATATAATATATATATATATATATATATATATATATATATATATATATATATATATATATATATAAAACTAGAGAGATTTTAAAGTATATCTCTATATCAAACCTATAAATGATTTTGAATTGTACGCCTATTAGTTATTAAACTATTATTTTACATTGTAAAGTTTACTAAAATAAAATTACGAGATTTTCATTGCTAGCTGTAGACAGGTCAAAAGTTGTGTCACTAATTTTAAGTGGATAATATTTGGAATTTCACAAAGGAAAAAATCATCAAATTATTTTCTACATGGCGATTTTTCGGAATAAACGGACTTTGGTATCTATTTTTATATAATATCAGATCTAAAATTATTAAACTATAGTAAATGTATTTAAGGTTGTAAATATATGCTTTACACATTCATGATTATAATTTACTTTTTCAATGCCATTTCCTTGATTAGGTGGATTTTAATTTTTTTTTTTCAAACTTCATAAATTTTACATTTAGTTAGTAAATTTAATTTAATTTCCTTTAAAACATGCGATTTACGTTAAATAATATTAGTTTTCACAAGTTATTTTTTATAATTTTTTGTCACTCTCCATTACTTTCTAAAATTATTATTCTAAAATTCTCCGCTTTCCAACGATACATTATACGTATCGTTCTGACTAGTATTTCCGGAAATTCATTTTCGACCTAAATAAACATTTTCTGATTTTCTCCATTTATCAATTTTCATATTATCAATTTCATTCTTTCAAAAGCTATATTTAGCATTTTTCATGATTCCTAATAATGAGATATAGTTAATTATTTAAAATAAACCAAGTTAAAGGCACTTCAGAGCAAGAAATATTGAACATTTAAGCCCTGTAAACAGAAATAAATGAGGATAAGACCTCCATGATATTAAAGACCACTTATTTGTACAATGATACACCGAGTTTAATCAAAATCGTTTAAGCCGTTTTTGAGGAAATTGTAAAAATGTGTATTATAGTTGATATAAAGAGGCACTTTCGGTAAGTCAATTTGCTGTCACATCCAAGGGGCATACCTATCCTAAATACGTAATATCAGTTTTGTACGACTTTTCGTTTCGTTGAGCTAGACTTACCACATATGCACAGACCATTTTGCGGCACTTGTTTTTAGACTCATGGGACCTCAAAACGTGTATTTCAGTTGAAAACTCAAGATTAAAAAAATTTCATCTTCGCAATACTTTCCCTTACTGTATATTACATATATAGATAATTGGTAATACAAACAGACCAGATATATTGTTTAAATATTTGAAAGCATGTATTAATAGTTTCTTTAGTAAATTAGAATTTGTAGTTCTGTAAATTTCATCACTTCACCCAGTATAACATTGCATTAAAGTGTTGCTGTTTTAACTTACGAAAAAAATAATTATAATATAGATCACCGGTGGAGTTGCATTGAATCGCGCTATTGATTATAAAAGCAACATTGTATAATTGATAAGCTATGACACTATGGCATATTGAACAAACTCAGAGCCGGTGCCTAACATAAACACAGCTAGCCTTGTGTAAACATGACCGTGCAGCAGCCGCAGGTGGACTAACCTTAGTCCAATTAAATTTATCATCTGCTACATTAATTACAAACCATGTCAGTAATTAGCTCAATATTTCAATGGCAGATTGCGTAAAATTAAAAGTACACTATTTATAAAGGGTTTACTAACTATATGCCTGTAAAAATTTAAAGATGAATTTTATTGTTTTGGGTTTAGGGGCAAAAAACTGCTGACGGTTATCATTGCCCTCAAATTGTACTGATTGATTTATTTTTAAATTTTAGGACTACTATTATAAAAGTGAATATGTTTTAAAAATTAATAATAAAACACACATATATATATATATATATATATATATATATATATAAGAAAAAGAAAAGAGAAAAAAAAATTATAGAAATTAAGTCAATATGTCCCAAATTTGTGAGTGAAAGAAAAAATAATTTAGCTCAGATCAGTTGAATTAGCCCTATGCTCTTAATGAATTCAATGGTTCTATCGACGCGTTGTTCGCTATATCTACTATAGGTACTATTTGGCTGGCGCGGTCCACGACAGCGACCGCTATTCCACGCTGCCAACCGCTGTTGGCGTAGCTATTTCACTGAAACTGCTCACTGCGGTTGTTATAACCTGCCTATAACCTTCGAACATTTCGCTGTATCTTCGAAGATAAAAAGATGGACATAATATAATAATAAAAATGAAGATCCTATAACAAAGAACAACTCTGACTACCGCTTTTATATTTGAGTTGGAAAAAGAAGAGAAAATGTTGCTCATAAAGAGAAGGAATATCAGTATTTCGATGTGATGCTCATCATCAAAGTCCCTCTGATACTAGATATTATTAGTTTGAAAAGTAATAATAATTAATACATAATTGATTAGTAATAAATATCATATATTTGTAATTAAATCCCAGCAGGCGATGTTTTATAGTTTTATCAATAGTAATCAGTAAATCACCACTTTAATTAAAAAATACAAATCGATTTTTCAATGGGTGGATTTTAGTATTTACCTGACGATAAAATTTGTTGGATTCTTTAATTCATTTAATATCGTTTGGATTTAGGTATATTTGTATTTCGCTGTAAAATATTGCTGGTGGAATAAATAAATAAATAATCTTGTTACTTCAACCTTAAAAAAATAATTTACTATTGCATTGTTTCAGTTTTAAACAATATTTGTTATAATTTTGCCAGACTTGAAAGAAACATATTAAATAAAACGTATCGACATGACTGTTATCATCAAAACAATACTTTGATATGATAACATAACCTACAACCGCCGAACCGCCAACAGCTCCACTGCTTCAAGAGGAGTCAGACCCGAGCAGCTTAGATATGACGTCATACCTAGACTGCCGAGCAGCGCCAGCGAAATAGGTTCCTTTCTATTCAACTAAAGCAGTGGTCAACCGCGAGCAATCGCGGCCGTGGACCGCGCCAGCGAAATAGTACCTTTAGTGCTTCACAGAGCAAACGATGTACATCACGTCTTGTAAAAAAGATGAATTTTTATTGACCATTTTGATATTTCTCTTGGACGATAGGTGCGTTATTTTGGGATAACGAACGATGTCAACCAAAATAAACATATTTATACTATATATCTTGACAATCCTACAATCGTACAATAAAACTCTTTTACACAAAATCCATAATTATTAAAATAATTTTCAAATAAATAATTCAACTAGGAAATTACACTAAATAGTATTTCCCTGCCCTTTACTTATAGTGAGCGCAAACAATAACTACTAGAGTAACTGTAACCAGTGTGTTTATCCAAAGCCTCATTACACCGGTTTATGTTAAAAAAAGTAAAGAAACTTTAATGCAAAAGTAAAAAAAAATCTATTTATTTATTTGATATTTATTCAATATATTTTCGAAGGTATCGAAAAAAAAAATCACAAAAGACAGGAAAGCAATGCTATGAGATATTGTCGATATCAGTATAGCCATTTGATTTTAGTTGCTAAGGGGGTGAGGGTTGAGGAAAACTGATGTATAGAACAGCTTTTCGTTTGCAGTCACTAAAGCTTAAAACAGTATTGTTTATTGTACTGGAATTATCTGCCTTGCGCAAAAAAAAAAATCTTGTATTAATCCAGCAGTGGCTTTGCTTACTTTATGGAGGGTAAGAAAAATTAATTGTTGAACTTATTAGGACTATTCTAGGAATTATGATCTGTTATCGTTTTGTGAGAATTACAGAAACACTAATGCCTAAATGTTGATCATTTTTAGCCGATTTAGAATCATAGGATTATCGAAAAAAAAAGCTTTATATATAAATATTCTATATATACAAATAAGTTGATAATAAGAAATAGTTTATTATTAATAATATGTTTAAAATAAGAGCAACAGATGTCCAAACATATGTTCTGAATAACGTAGAGACATAATCCGATTTCGAATAGCACCTAACTAGAAACCAAGGTTTCAAAGAAGAAGCAGAGGATGGATGAAGATGATTTAGATGGAAAAACAACTTTCACAGTGCCAGCGGCACCGAGTGACAAAGACATAAAGACATTGATCGACCAGAGCATAAACGAGTTCCTCGAGAAGGAAGACTACCACGAGCACATGATCGAAGGCTGGATCAACGGCATCACGGAGTCCGCCCTCAACAAGCTGGCCAAGCTCTACCTCACCTGCAAAATCATCATCAACATCACCATCTTGCAGAGGAACCGATCCAGCTTCCACTTTGCTTCTACTTGCCAATGGTCCTCCAGCACGGATAAGTGTCTTTACGTCGAATGGAGCAGCCCTAGCATGTATGTTGTCGCCTCGGCTCATTTGGTACAGGCTTGAACGTGTAAGCAGAGCTGTAAGATGAATATCATAAATAAATGTATTCAGAGTCTGAATTATTAGGTATATTTAATAATTTAGTTAGTAATGGGAATAGTAATTAATTTTAGGCACCAAAATTATTATTATCAATAATACATTATTAAGGTTCTGAAGAGAACAAAATAAATTATAAAAAAAAAATGAATATAAGATAATCAGATAACACATCTCCTCTTTAACTCTCAATGGGAATCTTCCATTGTTTAAAACAGTGCTGGTCTTCTTCTGACCGCTCCTTTAGGTCGCGTGCCTCTTACTCTTTTAAGAACAACGTGAATATAGTGATTTTGATTAATATTAGGACGTTCAGGAACCCAGTGAAGGTGCAAAATCTCATGTGTATCCACAATCAAGATTAAATAAAACAACTTTTAAGTCAATTAAAGCTGTGAAAGAGAAAGCATCACCTGACCTGAATGAAATATTCGCACAAAGAGCTGTAGGGGCATAGGGAAGGGGTTTATATGGAGATGGTAAGTAATTATGTATAAAATAAAAAAAATAATAAATTACATAATGTCTCGCTATATTTTTTATTTATGAAGTGCCGAATTCCGAGTCAGGGTGGGGTATTCACTTTAAGCCTGAAACTTTTCTGATTCATGTTTCGGTTTCGAAATAAAGCAGTGTAGGTATAGGAGCATCTAAACGATGAAACTAGCATTGCCGAATCAAGCTTGGACAAGATGGAGGAAAACCTTTTGTTTTGAAATAATTATAATCAACACAAAATACCTTTTTTACTGGTTATGTATCCTGTACATTGGCACTTGGGCAACTAGGAGTCTTCTTAACTATTTTCTTCTACTTATTTAGACGATCTATTCATAAAGACCAAACACTCCGAATGAAGAATCTTCCGGCCTCTTGTTCTAAGCTGTCGCTCGCAGAAGTTGTTTTGAAGAGGTTCTGCTTCCCTCTGCCAGAAGTCTTGACCATCCTGATAAATATTTGTTATTTATAGTTTGCTACAATTCTGATACTCTAACAAGCTCATCTTCGTGTGAAAAATTTGAAAAACAATGATCTACTGATGGAAGAGGTAATTTAAAACTTCATCCCAAACCTGTTTCAGTTATACATACCAAATCAATGGTATATAAATTCCTCATAGAATTAATAGAATTGTAGAGCATACTTGATAACCTGGTAACCAGAGGAAACAATTTTTATTACAAGATGTTAGTACACATCCCAATTCTTCCCAGAAGGAGAAAAGGAGTCTTTGCCATGTGCGGTTCACATGCATGTTGCCAACAAATATATCATTTCTACTCTGATTTTTGTAAACTAATAAAATGACAAAAATATCTATTAATTTTAAGTTCATCATCAGACGTACACAGATAAACCCGAGGTGGTACACAAACGTTGTTAACACACAACATGTTTACAAAAGGCAAGAAATAAGGACAAAAAAACAAGGTATGGTAACAAGATAGAAGATTCCAAGAGACTACTGGAAATAGAAAATTGGCTTCTCATGAGATGGGGAATTTCAGTCAGCAACCAGTTCTTCTTACAGGTCGCAGTGTCGCCTAAATATAGGTGGTGTAATATGAAATTTTCAATTTTTTAGCCCATAAAATTATTTTATTTAAATATAAAAAATAAAATTAGAAAACAAAAGAAGACATACATACGATTCTCATGGGTAATTCATAGCATACCTTATATATGAAGTGAATCAAATATATTCTAAATTGACATACAAGTAAATTATACAATACTAAAAGAATACTCAGTGGCATATAACAGTTGCAATATATTTTTTAAATTAAGGTTCATAAACAGTGATAATAACAAAATTCAAACTGTTTTAGAGTTCAAAAGTTTTCTCTGAGGTCGTGTTAAAGAGTAAATCTTAAAATACTCGCGTCTAATGATGAAGGTTCGAATCCGGTCTGGGCTGGTTAAAATTTGATTCAGGACGGACCCACGAAATGAATCTCGACCTTCCCACCCTGGTTAGAATAGGCTTAGTTTTATCTCAACAACTTCCGTACGACAGTTTAAAAAAAATTAAAAGTTTCCATTTAGCTAAATATTAATACAAAATTTAAAAGAAGTAGAAGCTGTTTAAAAAACCATTAACTTTCCTAAAAGCTGTGAAACTGTATAAAAGAATTTAACTTAATGATGTTGCCAATGACACTGAAGGGCAGAGGCAACAGAAAAAACAAAATAAATATATTAATTAATACAAATCGATGTTAGACCTTATTGCATAAGTTTTTAGGAAAAAAAGTAGCCTAGTGATTTTCTTTCTCGAATAAAATAATTAATATTCAACTATTTAGTTTAGTTATTACTGAATCGATATTCTAGTTCACAATTATTTTATTACTGATTTAGTAATAATAAAAGCTTCTTTTATTAAAAAAATACTATAGATTTTAATATTGCGCCAACGTTTCTGATTTCTTCGATATGATAGTCCATTATTAACTTATTAGTGATATATTTTTCGGCAGTAGTGTTGATTCTTTCATTTCGCAATAATGTATTGACTTATTTGAAATTTTTGGATTTCTTCAATATGAGGGTCCATTATTACATTATCGAAGGCGTCTTTTATGAAAATACAATAGATTTTATAATTGCAAAGTCGTGTGTCGATTTACTCGATTTTTTCAAGTTTCATTAAAGGTGAGTGTATATTGTATTGTGTATGTGTTATAAAATTATGTAATTGAATATTTTTTTAAACTTCATGGCTAATCTTATTTTATTGAATATGTTAACGTTAATCAGATTATTTTTAATTAATAACCAATTTTTAAATCACATTTTAGAATAAAATAATATTTCATAATGCTCTAAAATTTGCTCAACTGTGATACAATGTAGGAACCTGCTGGAAATGATAGTGGTGTAAATAAAGGTTCAATATTTCCAGAAAGTGAATGTTCTGTAGATGTTCTCAAATGATTTATGGTTATAATAGTGCATATAAGCTAGAAATTATATACCATTGGGTAGTTACTCAACAAGTGTTTTCACGTCATTATATCGATAAGTTCAAATTTACTATATGTATTTCTTTGATACAGTTGTAAATATCATTAAAAAAAAGTGTGATAAACTTATCGAAGTGAAAAAAATTTTAGGCGCGTTTTGCACTTTTTTTGTAGAGAGTGAGTTGGACTGAGCTGTCAGATCTCCGATGTGTAATGCTCGGATAAGGTCAGCTGGAGTTGACTAATTGAAGTGTTTTAACATATGAATTAAAATATCCCAAAAACTAGAACTCGAACCTGCAGATTGTTAGCGAGGAAAATGTTTATCGTTTCATCCTGTTTGTATGAGTTATAATTAAAAAATGCATCTTACCGCGACGCCGTGATAGGGAGGCGAAAAGAAATAAAAATACTGCCAAAAAACCAAATTATAACGAGTTTTATTGAAGATATGCATTAAAATATCTCAGAAACCAAATATCCGACCTGCATACTGTTAGCGAGGGAAATGTTCAGGATTTTATCCTACTTGAATGAAAACGTGTTTATTAGTATAAAGCAAATAGACGTAGAATATAACATTCATATAAATGTTACAATGGAAAATTCTGTCCAGGTCTGCATGATCTTTCTACAAAAAATGTTCCATTTTATATCCTATAAATTAATGATCGATGATATGTTTACATTATTAATAACATTTTAAAATTGTTTCCCCCTATCCATCCATCAAAATTAACAAATATATATATTTTTTTAATAGACGTTAAAAGTTAACTAAAGTTGACCAACAAGCAATAAAGCAATAAGTAGTAACTACATAACTGGATGAAGTACGTTTTATAATAAATAATTATTAATGCAACAATAATAACTACCCCAATCGACATCATCAATGCTGAATCTGGAGAAACATCCTTAAACCTTAGACGAAAATACCTATCTCTCAAATACATTGCCAAATTGAAAGCATCCTCCCACCACCCATTAACTCCATATTTATGTTCAGAAGAATCAGAAAGTAACGGACTTGGTGATAGAGAAAATAACATTTTTAAACAAGTAATTTACAAGGCAACAATTAAAATAAACATGGATACGAACATTATAAGACCCATCCCAGAATTAAAAATGCCGCGTTGGAAAAAATACAGACCTTGATTAATAATTCCATGACTAAAATTGCAAAGGCATATCCACTTGAAATACAAAAATCTTTTTTAAAACTAACGGAACAATATAAAAATTTCCATTGAATATATGCGGATGCGTCTAAAGTAGGAGATAGGGTAGAATGTCCTTTAGCGAATAAAGAGAGCTATTTACTGTTTAAATCACCTGGAGAATATTCGGTATTCACAAGAGAGGCGACTGCCATCATGAATCCTTTATATATAATTAGCGAATCTAAAAAAGAACTACTGTGTAGTTGTGACGGTCTCATACTGTTTTAACTGTCATCGCTAACCCATATCCTAGAAACTCCATAAATAGGGAAATACTCAACATTTGGTGGGAGGTAAAAAATAAAGGAACAACAGTACTTGGTATGGGTACCAGCTCATTGCGGAATTTTAGGAAATGAAAAAGCTGACAATGCAGCCCATATAGCAAGAAGTGGAGGAGAAGAAGAGGATGTGACTAGAGTGAAATATATCACTTTAGAAGACTGGGTATACGAAACAAAGAAAAAAGAACTGGCAGAGTGGGAAAAAGAGTGGAGGATCAAAAAGTGTAAGCTGAAAGAAGTAAAACCTAATTGCGATAAATGGCTCATTAGCACCAGAATGTCCAGGCGTGAAGAAATTATACTGTGCCGCCTAAGGATTGGGCACTGCCAGCTCACTCATAGCTATCTTTTAAGAGGCCTAGAAGCTCCTACTTGCGAAAAATGCTCCTCAAACTGTGAAACACCTTCTAGTAGAATGCCCCAATTCGAAAGCCACAGGAAAAAAAAAAAGAACTAGGAAAAACACTAAACGACATTCTACAAGGTAATGAACAGCGAGTCTCTATCGTGTTTAAATTTTTAAAGATAATAAATTACTATAA